TTGGTGACAGCTTTAGTAACCTCAGTTAGGGATGGAGGACCTGTGTCTATATCCCATTCAGGGAGGTGTTGGATGTTCAGCAGGTTGAGCATGGCTATGGGCCAAATAGACTGCTCCTCATAATGCTCTTTCCAGCGATCCAGTCGTCTATCCTGGGAGCTAATTATAATGCCATTTTTTTCCGAGATTGTTTCACTAATGATTTGTCTTCTCCCACCCGTTTCCCTGATGAGTCTAAATAGTTGCCTGGTGTTGCCTATCCTCGAAGCTTTCTCCATCTCTTTTGCTTTTGTCACCCACCACTGTTCACGGTCCTTGCGGAGACTTTTCGTAAGTTTCCTTTTGTGCAGCTTTCGCTCCTCATTGAATTCGGAGCTCGCCGGGATAAGTCTTCTAGCATCCATCAGTTCGGATGAGGCGGCGGAGATCCAATGGTTTTTACTTACCTTTGGGTTCAACTTATTCACAGCTTTTACAGCTGTATTTATGGCTGCCTGGATATTCTTCCAAGCTTCTTCAGGGTGAGCACAGCTGTCGAACACAGGTATGTGTTTAGCTAGTTCTTCCTCAAATACGGATTTAGTTTCCTGATTGAGCTGGGGACGTGATGGTTTTACCGCCAGCTGTTTCCTACGTCCGTTCAGTCGTAAGCACACATGAGCGCGGACCAGTGCGTGGTCGGTATCTACACACGTGTTCCAGAAGGAGCGACAATCTCCTACCGACCCACGCCAACGATAGCTTATTGCTATGTGGTCTATTTGTGTCCAGCGTTGGCTTGATGAAGGGGGTCTCCAAGTCAAACAGTGTCTCTCCTTGTGTTTGAAGTTAGTGCTTACAAGAAACAAATGATTATCAGAGCAGAACTGTAGGAGACGGTCACCGTTGTCGGTTCGCTGGCACCGAACTCCATAGGTGCCACCGACATCCTTCTCAGATTGACACAATTTCCCTACTTGAGCATTAAAGTCACCGGCTAGAACGACTATGTCTGAGCGTTCGGCCTTTCGCAGCAAACCAGACAGCTTTTCCTAGAACTCATCTTTCGTTTCATCCGAACTGCAGTCAGTGGGGATGTAGGCGGAGATTACGAAAAGGCATCGGCGAGTAGTGCAGTCCTTTCTCCTTTTTACTGACCCGTTCAGACGGACAGCACACATTCGGCTATCTACCGGGATGCAGTCAAGCAATGTCTTTTCTGCCCTAGTACTCAGAGCTATCCCTACACCAGCTAATCCTCGTGAACTAGCTGTGGTCTCTCCTGACACCCTCAAGGTGAATTTTGCAGATTCAACCTGTTGGCCAGGTGGGGTTAGGTGAATAACCACACTTGGGTCTTGTATGCGTGTTTCTGAAACACAGCATACATCAATGGCTCGAGATGCCAGGGTCTTGGCTAGTGATGCATGTTGTCCTATTTGGCAAAGTGTCCTAACATTAAAAGCTCCTATATGAAATTGGTGGCGTGGCTTTAAGAGGCTGTCGGTGGTGGCTTTTTGGCTTCCATCGTTTTTAGTGGATGCAGAGTGGAGAGGAAGTGGAGAGCTATGAAGTTGAGGACTTGCATCAGTGGAAGGAAGGCAAGATGATAGAGATGAAGATGAAAACAAAGATGAGTGAGTAATAGAGAGGTTTCGCGTGCGTTTCGGATTGTGAGGGCGATTGTTACTTCCCGGCTGCCCATACCGTGGAAGTTGGTTGTGTGACCGCAGAGCCAAAGGGACAACTGCTTGAGGCCGGTCACACGCGGCCTGTTTTTGTTCGTTCTTTTTTGTTTGGTGTGCCTCAGTAGCATAGTCATCACTCCTGCCCTGTGACACGATAGCAGGAAGCGCGGTCGTTGTTAATCCGGGCCACGGCCGATCCGGCATGAAATTTTGTGATTTTGTATTTATCATGATGTTGGATTGGGTAGCTGCTTTTTCTTTAACCGCTATCCCAACAACCCGCCTGGCATGGAAGGACCTCAACGGACATTAGTCTCAGCCAGTATAGCTCGAATAGATCATTGCGGTGTTCAAGCCCGACCACCACGTCAAGGTAGCCGCTTTCGGTTGGGTTATATTCTTATCTTGTAGACACAATTACATTCTGACATTTTGAGAACTATATAACTGACATGCACTAAAGATTACTGTAGAGAATTCGAAGGTTCGACATAGACTACGTAAATGAAGAATAACTGATTGGTAATCATTAGGGTGACATTCAAACCTAAAAACTCACTCAGAGACAAGCTCTGTAGAATAAAAGGCCCGGTGGACCCAATTAAACAAAATAATATCATTTACAAAATACCTTGAAATGACTGTGAGTGAAGTCGACTACATAGGTCAAACTAGTGAACAGGAGTAGTGAGATTGCCTGTCAGGACATAAGAATTTAGCTAAGGTAAGAATGATCGATCCCACACAGTATAACTGGCTCCACATGAGCAAGTTAATTGATAAACACACAATGAGGTGGCCCAAAGCGGCAGTTTATCCTTCACACATCCATTGATCATTTGTTGGCTGTAGAAATTGATACATAGTTCAGCCATAAAGAAGGCTTTCCTTAGCGATCTGCATAAGTGATTCTTCAAGATCTCAGCTGCGGTATCACCTTTAAATTCAACACTCATAAATAGCGGTTTCTTCAGCACCGTCTGGGTTCTTTCAGGCTTTTGCTTTAACTTCATGTTTTACTCGATAAATCTTGGAAGATATACATTCTCTATGAGGACTTGCCCGAGCCGCCCGAGTTCCCCATCGATTGTATCACTGGAACATATCCTCCTTATTCTTGAGGATAAGGAGGGGATCAGATTTCTCTTTCTTCTCAACTATGGAAATTTGTAAAGTGACCATTCCATGCTGGTTTCCTGTAGATCGATCTTTGAAAAGAACCATCAGATGTCCTTTAGGTAGGTAAAGGAGGTTGCTTCTTTCAGTAAGACTAACACCAACCTGACTTCTTGACAGTAGAGTTAACAGAATCAAACATCTGATCATTGCTTTAATTCTATTTCAATCATGAAGAATTCTCATTGGAAATGAGTTATACTCAATTCCTTGTTCTTAATAATAGTTAATAGCCTTTCAGACAAGTTTCTTTATCCAACTTCCAGTTGAAAGGAAATATATATTATCGATTTTGATTTTTGATATACAGCTTGATTCCACACTGCATTTTTGATACAAGTATGAAATTTTCAGCATGGATATCGGTAGCCCAAATTTTCCAGGCCGGCCATAGATATCAGGTGTGCGCCGGCGTGGGCTCGAACCCCGGACCATGTGCATGGTCGGCGAGAGTCCTAACCACTGTGCCACCGACGTGTCCCATAAGATACATTGGAAATTTCTAAATTTTCTTCTGATATTGCTGTTAATCCCCAATCGGATTGGTTTGATTTTGAATCTTTGGGATGATTCTGATTGTGATTGGTTGGTTCTATAGAACTCCAAACTTGAAATTTGAAGTCTGAGTAGTGGTGGTGTTTTCGCTTACGCCTAACATTCCTTCTTTACCGGGCTTACCTCACCAGCTAGATGGTGTGTAAGACTGCGTCAGATGGGGATCGAATCCTGGGAACCACCTGTATGAGAAATTCTGTAAGATTTGGTAAGTCGTACATTATGGTGATTTTTTAGATACTTCCATCACGAAATCGAAAGTCTCCCTCAGTTAACTATTGCGTATATGCAATAACTGGCTACTGAAGCGATCAGTATCTGCTATAGCTACAGAAACAGAAAATACTCAAATGTTAACAGTGCAGTGAGTGATATCAGTCACGTCGTGATATTACGTCACAAAATCTCAATGGGATTACTTATGTACTTGAAGGGGTTGATACCGTTGTTCATAATAACGAAACGGTACTTATTAAACGAAAAGTGAATCATGGTAGGAGTACAGCAAATCATGTTTGGGTACTGGGAGTGTACGACACAGATCTTCGTAAAGGGTTTGTAGAACGCATCCCGAACAGAAGTGCTGATGTCTTAATACCAATTATACAACGACTTGACCTCCCAGTTACTACCATTCACACAGATAAGTGGAGAGGTTATTCGCAAATATCATCACTAGGCGATATTCATCACAAAGTCAACCATTCTTCTGAATTGGTCTATTTTAAAACTGGAACCTGTACAAATTATGTTGAAGGATTCTGGGCCCATCTGAAAAAAGGTATCACAATGGTGAATGGTTCCCGAAATGATAAGGTGTATAGTCACGGAGATGAGTTTTTGTATCGACATTGGTTTGATATGTCTATAACCACCTACTTCTATGAGAAACTGGGACGAGTTTTCGCAGCACATTAGAGACATATACTCTGTATCGTTCCTTTTTATTACATATGCATATAATGAATACACTTTTTTATGAATTATATACTACTTTTCACCCAGAGTGACTGACTGGTTTCAATATAGAACTATGCACCGATGTGCAGCAGTTCAAGTCGCCATACTGCACTCAGCACACAAAGCAAGTAAATAGAGTAAAATGAGATTCAAAACAGAGACAGTAAACAGAGGTATGAGGGAAAAGGATTTCCTCTTGGCCCGCTTTTAGCAGACTGCTTTATGGCCAGTTTGAGGAGCGGAGTTTTAAAATCAACAATAAATAAGTCACTACTGTAGAAAAGGTATGTTGACGATACCTTTATAGTCCGCTACGATAACTCGGACCTCAACTGCATCTTACAAGAATTTAATAATTCCCATCCTTCGATTAAATTCACAAAGGAATTAGAAAACGATTCAAAGATTCCATTTCTGGGCGTGGAATTAACAACCACTGTGCCACCTACTCACATTGTTGCTTTTTATTTCTGTGTGGTGGATCTCGTAATGCTCATAATGTACCAAATTTGTTTTTAAATAGTAAATCACGAATAAGAGATTGATTGTGTGAATTTTTGTTTCTATTGAGTAATAGCTCCTTTGTTTGCTTGTTCTGAGCTTCCCTTTTTTAGTCATTTTTATTTCATTCTCCTTCTAACAGATATACTGGCATTCATTCAGTCAATCAAACAGTTGGGTTATTCAGATACACCAGATTATGCCTATTTACGTAAACTTTTGCACAGTGCTAAGTCATCGATTGGCAAACAAACCGTTTCATCTAGTCATAAGTTAACTGTGGAATCTAATGAAACGGGGGTTATTTCTCCACCAACACTCCGTAAATATAATAAGAAAGATGTATTAAAAGTGAGGAAATGTTCTTTGCTTTTTTCCCCACTTACACACTGATGAGTTGATCCATCGACAAATGTCTATGGAGATAGTTGATTTTTAGAACCGATAATTATTGAAGTACTTTTGCGACAACCAGTTATTATTATTATTATCAGTTCTCCGCATTATGATTCTCAGTTTTTTATTTCATAACTTCCCTTCTAGGTGTAAGTTTTCCTAGACGTCGACGTCGTTGAATCCGGAGAGCTTAATAGAATTCATCTGTCTTATGTTTGTTCGTGTAGTGTGTAACGAGTCGCACCTAATACGTATAAATCATGAATAATCCCCATCCAGGCATTAATGAAAACAAAACACGTAGATCAGCGAATAGTCTCTTTTCGGTGAATTCATTTTCTTAGTTGTACAATCGCAAATATATATATATGTTATTTTGTATGTATGTGTACATTAAGTTTGTCGAACAAAATTACGATTGGTTATGGTTATTTTAACTAAACAGGTAAAGATTGGAAATACAAGTCAAGAAAATTAAGTGTTAATCAAACTAGGGTAGTAACAAAAGTGATGAGTTGTCACAAACAGTTGTTAAAAGAAGTTATGTAATAATAATATGAATAGTTTGATGAGTGAGTTTTACTCAGGATGCACTTAGGAACAAAGTAGATAATACGAAATTACGTAAGAGTCCTAAATGAATACAAGAGTTATAAGCAATTAAAGAACAGGCAGAGAAGCAAAATTAAGTCATCAAAATCAAAAGAACTGCGGTTGTACAGCTAAGAAAATGAATTCGCCGAAAAGAGACTGTTCGGTGATCTACGTGTTTTGTTTTCACTAATACGTATAATACTACACGGTTGGCCAGGTTGAGTCCTGTGACTCATTGGTTGAACCGATAAGTCACTTTTGTATACCACAAAGATCACATCTGTGTACTGCTTTGATGTAAGCGTTTACTAAAATAGCCAAACCACCAACAATGAAGTGCAGTGTGTGTGTGTGTGTGTGTGTGTCATAGTCCTAATGAGTTTATTATTATTATTATATTTTAAGTGTATGATGCGCACGTGACTTTCAGCTTCATTCGATACCTCAAGTAATCTTTATAGTTTAAATTCTAAATCTATTCTTTCACTTGTAAGATCTGTACACTCCTAGAACATGTCATGCTACTTATACTGTATACTAATTATCTCGTGAGCAAATAAGTATCATTCGGTGTAACATAGAGCTTAGCCAGTGTCGGACAGTTTTATCTTTTCTTCTCATATATATATATATATATATATATATATATATATATATGTTGAAAATTCGACCTTATGTTGTCTGGTGAAGAAGGCCGTCTTATTATAGCACCGTATACAGCTGATAGTGAGGTTTTGACAACCGCTGTTGTCTGTATTAGCATATTCACCTCCCCAAATATAAACAATTCTATATTACAAACATGTACATTTCTCCTAGTTGCTCTCCATCTGATCTATCTAATTTTGCTGATGAGTTCACCATGTTTGCTGCTGCCAACTTCGACAACTTTCTATCCGTTATTACTGGAGACTTCAACACATCGGATTGCTCCTTTCTTGAAGCTCTTGGTCACACAAACATAGTCAAATTTCCCACTCGACTTGACAAAACACTCGACCTCGTTTTTACTAATGACGAAGGAGTATATGAAACACGAAGACGTTCACCGATACATAACTCCGATCACTGCATTGTCCGCGTTTTGCCAAAAATATACAGCAAAACACATATTAAAATCTTCTCACACCTGTCTACGAAAGCACAACAAAGATGCTACACATCTGACAACTTACTCAATCTAAGATGCATGTTAAAAGATACCAACTGGGATCTATTCTATGAAAGTACATTAGATGACTCAATCACCAATATAATGGATTATCTTAAGTTCTGCCTCGACATATGCTGTCCCAAACAAACACTGTTCAAACGCCTCGACCGCTTCTCGTCTCCCCGTCTCAAACAACTTCGCAGGCAAAAAGAAATGTTATATAAATGCAAAGACAAGTTAGGACTTAAAAAGATTAATGCTCAAATCAAATCTGAAATCAAAAATCTTAATGCTATCTATAACCAAACACTTTTATCATGCAAATCTCCTAACAGCATGTGGAAACTTTTCGATGAAATTACTGGCAAAAGTAAGCGATGTAATGTTTTTCCCTCTTGTGATGTTAATGCTCTTAATCTGTCTTTTTTACGCTCTCCTTCTACTATAAACACTTCTAAAGTTACCAATCTTGTAGCTGATAACTTCCAGGACTTCAATACTCACGATGTTTTGAAATGTCTTAAAACTCTTAAGCCCTCACATAGTCTTGGCCCTGATAGCATACCTGCATATGTTCTAAAACAATGTGCAGATGCTTTATGTTTTCCTCTAACTAATATCCTAAATGCTTCTTTCTCCGAAAACGTTGTACCTGTTCCATGGAAAGACATTAAAATAGTCCCTGTCCCTAAACCTGGAAATAGCAAGAACGTAAAGTTCAGACCCATCGCCATCACTTCCCCGTTTCTAAAGCTCATGGAAAAACTAGTACTTCTTAAACTCCAACCCTCCCTTAAAAGCTTCGAAGACCCCAAACAATTTGCCTACAGACAGGGTAGGAGTACTTTAGACGCTGCAGCCGTCTTACACAACAGTATTATCTCATCATTAGACAAAGGTGCCAAATATGTCCGCTGCACGTTTCTTGACTTCACTTCTGCTTTCGACTCTGTACCTAGAAGTCTCTGGCTAAATAAGCTCTCCATGACACAAACCGAGTCCTGGGTCACTAACTGGTTGCATTCCTACTTTTCAAACAGAATGCAGTACACCGT